TTTCCCTAGAACTACTAATCTCATGATGGCCAGCTATGGCCACCCCAAATAGCCTGTTAAGCTAATTAAATGGAATGAGTTGGGTTTCCTGCTACCATTTCTCAAAAGCTGGACAGGTATTTGGCCATCCCTCTGCCTTCCCCCATTCTTGTCTCTCAGGGTGGGGAGAGCAGGAGCCAGGGAATGACATTCTGTAGTCAGAAGTAAATGCTGCCAAAGAAAGAAAGCTTTGAGGCTTTACTTCTATCTTATTTATTTTTAAACTCTACCTCCTCTTTCACCTCTTTTTCTCCATATAATATTATTTCTCTAATAAAGAACAGCCAGATAAAAACAGTGGGGGAACTTCAGGGAACCAGAAAAGCCTCTTCAGACATTTTTCTTAAAGGGTCGGTTTCCTATATAATATGATTAAGTAGAATTATATTGTTTAAAAATGTAGCTGAAATATATTTTTCTACCACTGTGCATATATTTTTAGCATAGCTTTTTAGCATTTTTAGCAAATGTCTGTTTCTGTTCTCCTTGTTAACAAGAAAAAGAGCTACTGTGCCCATCATTTCTGAACTGTTTGTCCAGTAGCATAATTTGAAAAGTACAAGTCAGGCATACTGTTGACTTTTTTAAAGAGTGTGAGTGCATGAGAGGGAGAGAAGAAGGTGGGGAAAGGAAACATGGATATGCTTGTGTGCTTTCTTCTTCTTGGCTTATTGGTAGCATGTGGTAATGGACTTTAAAATGCGTTAATTTAATTTAATGCATTTCATGTATTTAAAAAAATACAAAATTGTAATGCTATACTGAATTGCTACTAAGTCAAGGTAAAACTTTTCTCCTCATGTGATTTTGTGGCAGATGTTATATGTGGGTGAAAACATGTTCTTGAGAAGGAAAAATTAATTTATCCTTTCTTCTCTCCCTCCTGTCTCCTTCCACTCCCTCTTTCCCAAATCCTTACCCACATCTACCATAGGCATATCAAGGGGTGTAGGGTTTATTCGATTTGACAAGCGGATTGAGGCAGAAGAAGCTATCAAAGGCCTAAATGGCCAGAAACCTCCTGGTGCCACAGAGCCAATCACTGTAAAGTTTGCTAATAATCCAAGCCAAAAAACAAATCAGGCCATCCTTTCCCAGCTGTACCAGTCTCCAAACAGAAGGTATCCAGGACCACTAGCTCAGCAGGCACAGCGTTTTAGGTAAGTCTGGTCTGGTTCTTATGCCCAGCTACTCAGAACTCTCAGGTTTATTGTCCAGTACTTTTACTGACAGGGTCTCCGGTTTGCTATTATTATTGTTGTTTTCTTTCTTTTTCTTATGGGCGCAGAGAAAACCTACTTGGGGAATAGTGTCTGTTGCAAATATCCAGGGTGGGGACAAAAGGGACAAAAGGACAATAACCTACAGCAGTGGTTCTCAACCAGGAGTAGTTTTGCCCCTCTGGGGGCATTGGCAGTGTCTGGAGACGTTTATGTGGGCACAGCTTGAGTGGGGGGTGCCACTAGCATCTAGTGGGAGAGGCCAGGGATGCTGCTAGTCACCTTGCATGTACAGTTATAGCCCCCAACAGCAACAGATTATCTGGCCCCAAACAGCAGTAGTACTGAGGTTGAGAAACGCTGACCTACAGAATGCTGGGGTCTTCTTAACTGTTTCCAGTGCTTTCAAATTCCCCTTTTTAGTTTTTTTCTTGATAAGATCTTGTTCTTGTGTTTCAATTTATTTTTTTATTTTTTATTTTTTTGCGGTATGTGGGCCTCTCACTGTTGTGGCCTCTCCCGTTGCGGAGCACAGGCTCCGGATGCACAGGCTCAGCGGCCATGGCTCACGGGCCCAGCCGCTCCGCGGCATGTGGGATCCTCCCGGACCGGGGCACAAACCCGCGTCCCCTGCATCGGCAGGTGGACTCTTCAACCACTGCGCCACCAGGGAAGCCCTTGTGTTTTAATTTTTAGGTCAAGCTCTTTCAGTTACTTCGTTTTATAATATGTGCACCACTAAGGGTACCTAACTTAATGTGATGACATTACGTTTTTATAATTTAGGTCCTTCTTCCCTTTTTAAGTTTTTATTCCTTGCAGTTTAGAGGTTGGCAAACCCCTGTAAAGGCCCAGATAGTAAATATTCCAGGCTTTATGGGTCATGGTCTCTGATGCGTGTCTTTTTTTTTTTTTAAAACAACTCTTTAAAAATGTAAAAACCATTCTTAGCTCCTGGGCTGTAGAGAAACAGATGGCAGTCTGGATTTGGCCCGTGGGTGGTAGTTTTCTAACCTCTGTATAGTCCATAGAATGACCATGCATTTTTAGCCCAAAGAGGATATTCTATCTCATAGATGGGTATAAATATTCTGATTTTTCAAATTTTATTCTAATACTGGGACAACAACCAGATTAAGTCATTAAGTCACTTAAAAAAATCCCTAATCTGCATGTGAGAAGAATGGTGACTTTTAGATGTTAAACAGAACAAAGAGACATAAACATTTTTTATTTTCCGTAACATTTTTAATATCCTTTTTGGCCATATGGTATACTATAGCCATAATGCCATGTAACCTCCATGCTAGTATTTTTTTGTTTTGTTTTTTTTCACCAGTGAATATCAATTTTATTTCCTTGCTGGAGCAGAATAGTTAATTACCAAAAATATAATCACAAATTTAGCTTAATAAAGAGTTATATGTTTTCTAGCTTAAATCACATGCATTTTTTCATTCAGGTGTTTTATAGTGCTGAAGAGAGTAAAGATAAAAATTAGTAAAATATCTCCTTTAAAAAAAATATGTCGCCTGAGGTATGAGAAAGAAAATTTCCATAAACACCATGTTCATTTCCTACTTAGGGTGGCTTTTGCCTTGGGAGAAGAGGGTTTACTGTCAGAGGCTCCATTTGGAACTGTATGACTTGGTACCCAGTTGACTAAGCCTTGTGTTCACTTTACTCTCTGCTTTAACTTTGTAAGATTTAAAAAAAGCATTGGTAGAAAGGAAGCACTGCCACTTTTGACTGTGGTGGTTGGTGATTGGGCTGGAGGAAGACATGCATGGGGCTGCTTGCTGCTTGCCCTTGTGGAGAAAGAAATTTCATAAAGCCATTTCTTAGCTCTGCCTGTAGGTTTCCTGTGTGGCATCTTAAATGAGTAATATTTTGTTGCAAATTTAGCACAGACATGCATGAAGGAATTTTAGAGGTGTTTCCTAGGCAGCCTATCCAGTTAACTTCAGAGCTCTTTGGGGCCTAGAAAAGAATTTTGAGCTTAGGTAGAGGAAAGTTGTTTGAAACTTACTGGTTGATTTTAATACTGTGAAAATACAAGATGTGTGATGTTAGTAGAAAGCTGTATTAGTTTAAATTGTTATTTTTGGTGTTTCCCAATTTAACCTCTGGTTTTTGTTTTATGGTAGTTACTGAGTAAAACTGCGCTCTTAAAATCAAGATTGAATTCTGAGAAAGATTGAGCAAGAGGACTGAAATGATAGGATCTCCAGGAGAATGCCTGATTATTGAAATGGCAAGGCATGTAGGTGGCTCACATATTAGGTTGTTGATAGCTGTTTCATCTGCTCTCAACATCATCTAGCCCCCTCCCTGCATACTTTTTTTTTTTTTAATTCGGTAAAGCTTTATAGGATGTTCTGATGATCAGATTTAATATCTTCTGCCCATTCTGTGCTTTTATCTTTTAGTTCCGTATGTAGTTAACTTAGCGATTCTTACTTTCCTTACCTCCTATAAAAAGAAATTTTGGAAAAAGGGAATAAGAGTTGTCTGTTTTAAGGGAAACTTGGTTTCAGAAAATGGGGAAGAAGTTTATTGTATTTTCAGATTCTTAACTCTTGTCTCCGTCACCCCACTTCTCGTAATCCATCTTCAGATAATAAATTATGAACTAGTCTTTGAGCTCAGTGAAGGTGTTTGGTTTAGATTCAGTGTTATAAGAAATTGAGAGCCTTTATTCCTAGATTTTAAGTTGTGTATTTGGTTGCTTTTCTTTAATATCTTTGAACCTGGTCTGTCGTTACCTTGATTTTTTTTCCCTTATTCTATTGAATTAAGGTTGAATCTTCTTTCATCTCAGAAGGACTCTTGAATTGAAGGACTGGCTTGCTTTGTTGGTATTTTGCTCTTCTGTAGTTCAGGCCTAGGTCATTACCTAGATCTCTCGTCTCTAGTATCTGTGTTCTAATGCTCTCAGCCTTGAGTTTGTCACCTTCCTGCGGACACTTTGAAAATTTTGCACTGTGTGTTTTTATGTTGTCATATAGTGCCTCGGGAGTTGAGAGACATTAGCGAATACAAGTTATAAATATTAATAGCCAAGGATGTTTTTAATATTTATGAAATGTACCTTATCTTTTAAGGTTAAAAAAAATTTTAAATCCATGTAATAAGAGTTAAGCTTGTTTGTTTGGTTGGTTTTTTGCGGTATGCGGGCCTCTCACTGCTGTGGCCTCTCCCGCTGCGGAGCACAGGCTCCGGACGCGCAGGCTCAGCGGCCATGGCTCACGGGCCCAGCCGCTCCGAGGCATGTGGGATCTTCCCGGACTGGGGCACGAACCCACGACCCCTGCATCGGCAGGCGGACTCTCAACCACTGCGCCACCAGGGAAGCCCAAGAGTTAAGCTTAAAAGTGGGCTTGTGAGGTTTATGGCTCAGTCAACCCATATGAATAATTAGAAAGAGAATTATTTTAACATGAGCATTGCTAATCTAATATGCTTATTTAATTGACTACAGTTTTCAAAATAAGACCGGCCTTGTTTATTTGGATGGATAGTGTAATTCAAGCCCCTTAAGTATGTTCTTGGGACATGGTATCTGAATTAAACTTTCAGCCAAATTTTTTTCATCTCTCTTCTTGTGGAGCAGCCTTAATTTTATTAAATGTGGTCTAGTCTTAATGGCTTGTGTGCCTGCTTCTATAATAAGCCTTTATGCATTTTTAAAGGAGCCTTTTAAATCAGCACTTGAGTTTCATTTAAGGCATGTGCTGGTTGCACTATCACAATTTACTTTGGGAAGAAACTGGTATCAATCCTCTCGAATAATTTTTTTCCTCTGTTTACAGGAATTAGATAAGGAGATGAGTTGATGATCTTGTTGTGGGTTAACTTCAAAGCAGATCTTGGTCAGTGATCTTTAGTGAGGTTTGGAGAATCATTATTTGTAGAGTTCAGAGTTTTATTTTCTTACCCATTTAGTAATCTCTCTGTATATTTTTATTTCTCACTTTGACTGACATTTCCCCTTCTACCTGCGTGTAGGCCCTCCCATAGTCTGTCAGCTAAATTTCTTGGAAACTGGGAAGGTACCTTCTTTTCACTCTCTACTTATAAACATCTAGCTTTGAAATGGGAATATTCTATTCAAAATATTGCATGCTTATAATCAGAAACTAGGCATGTAGTCATAAACTATATGCACATGGGGGCTTGTGCTATTATATTCATTAATTCATAAACCCTAATCATAAACAAAATAAAAATAAGGATGAAATAAACAATATATCAGTGTTTTGCTAATCGTGCTAACTGGCTCATTTTTCACTTACATAATATCTTAGTAAATAATATACCTTTAAAGCAAGAGTCATAAAATTATCTTGATAATTTGGAATTTCTTGTCTGACTTCATGTGAGACATGTTAGATTATTTTGTCTAACTGCATAGTGCAGCTTGTACTAGGAGTAGGAGAGAGAATCAACTCTCTCTTTTCTTATTTACTTGGGCTTTCCTTACTGGTGTCATCCTCCCTCTGATGATGGTGATGATGATTTGTTGTTTGCAGGAATCTTTTTAAAACTACCTCTTCTTTGAGGGTTGTTTTAATTAAATCTAATCCTTCAAATCCACTTAATGTGTTATTTGTAAAGTGGATTATGCCCATGCTAAAGAACAGGTGACTGTGTCACTTTCCCTTTGAGGACTGCTCAGTCTTCCCTCAGGAGAGTATGTGATGCATGGGAACTGAGTGAGGTCTTTGGATGCAGTACATTTATTCAATATGAGTAAAGAATACTTTATTGTTAAATTAGAAAAAATTTTTATTGGACACTTTAATATTTATTTGCCATACAGCTGTATATCATCACACACACCCCTCCTAGGTCATTCTGGAGGCTATTAACTTGGTCTCCACTAAAAATTGGCTTCTGTCATTAAATGATCACATGCAAAAGATGGCTGTCCCTGAACTCTGGACAGACCCAGAAAAAATGTATAATTCTGGAGAGTAATAGTGGTCCTTGTGTCTGAGCTAACTGCCTAATTAGGGTAAACTGCTAGGTCCAACTGTGGGCAGGCGGGGGTTTTCAGTGTTGCCTAGGTCCTGTTTCTTAGGTGCCATGTTCCTCCTTGTTGATGGGAGAGGAGGGAGGGGCAAGGAGAGCAAAGAGAGAGAGGGAGAGGCAGATAACTTGGCTTGAATTCCATAGGATTGAATTTTTTCTAAAGTGAATATTGAGTGAAGATATCAGTGGGCAGGATTGTGGTATCACACAGGATTTCACAGGTAGGGCAAATATGAGGCTCATTGAGAGGGTCCTCAGAGATCCTAGTATAAAAGTCCTAGGCCTCCTGTCTGGAGAATCCTGGGGTGGAGAGTGAGAAATGAGATATCTCTCCTTTTAACACATGTAATCCACTTCGGGGGCAGTTTTGGTTTCTACCCTACTTAGAAAATACTGAAAACTTGCTTAGGAGATTCTGTCTCTGGACTTTTGGTTAGTGTCCTAAGCTGGTGGTGATAGAGTCTACACAATTAATGGGCAGAGATGATGTGACTCTGTTTTGGTGTCTGCGTCTGAGCCTTTGAGTACTTTGGAAGCAGACCTCAATATGCTATTCTGTTCTACTGGTGTCATATGCCAAATGCATTCTGTATTGATCATTCAGCAATTCTATGAAGTTATCTATATTAGATTATTGTTGATGATACTAATTTGTTTGCATCCTTATTTCTGGTATTTGTGGCCTCTACTTTGGAGTATAAGCGTATGGCATCTTTGACTATACTCATTACCTCTGCACAAAACAAAATCCCCCTCCCACCTGTGTACTTTTTCCATACATGTGCTCTCTCCCTTGCATGTGCAAACAGGCTCCCCAGCCTGCCCTCCTGATAGTTCTTACTCTGGATTAAGTAGTTAAGGGTAATGTTAGTAACCTCAATGCTTTGATTTAGTCAACAGATACTAATTGTAAACCTGTAGTGACCCAATCCGTCTGTGCTCCATGATTAGTGGTATGATGAGTAATGAACTTGTCCCTGCTCCTGAGAGGGTAGAGGGACAAGGCACACACCACACACAGATGAGGCTCCTTTGTCACTGTGATTTGTTCCTTTTTTTTTTTTAATAGTACTTTGCATTACAATCAGCTCGGTTCTTTCTTTTTAATTTTATGAAACACACAAATGTGCAGAGGTAATTGGGAAAAGGAACCTGTGAAGATTCTTTGTCCAGTTCTGAAAGACCAGAAGGAGGCGTCTTGAGGCTTTTATAAAACTAGGCGGAGTTGCTTTCTCATGTGTGCTGTAGCCTCACTTGAGGTCACAGGTTAGACAATAAGGTTGAAACATTTTTCAAACTTAACTGTTCGTGGCTGTTAAAGAAAAAAATGTTCCCCTGACCCAGGGTCTTACTTGGATAGTGTTGAACATTGTGGCAGTTGAGGTATTCAGTTATGCCTACCTCCTCTAAACACACGTCATTGATTGGTACTCGTTGCACAAATGTGGAACATCCGGATGGTCTCTTTGAACTGATAAAGCAAGAAGAATCAAGTGCTTAAAAACATCAATTTAATTTTTGAAACAGGAAAAGGGTAGAGAGTTTAAAGAGTACCCACCCACCGCCATCTACTTCGTAAAAAAAAATTGTTAAGAGAAGCTCACTTAAGTTTGTTTCTATCTATCTGCTTCTTACACCCTGAGTAGTGGGACTGTACTTCTTGTAGGACAATCAGAATAAGCATCAGACTGGGGTCTGAAGTCCTTGCTTTGTTGCTCAGTGAGTCTGTCGTCTTAGATTCTGTGGACCTCAGCTGAATACATTGAGCAATGGGAGGTTTAGCTGAGGTTGTCTATGAGGTTCTTTTTACCTATAATAACACCACTTTTAGATTTTAAGAAATGAAAGTCCTTTGTATTTGGGGGATTGAAGGGAAATTTATGGAATTCTGTGTAAACTGCAGAATTTGAATATCGATGCCACCATTTACTAACTCTTTGGCCTTGAGCAAGTCCCTTAATCTGAGTGCCTTATGATACTCAGGAACTAATAGCTCTGAAAACTAAAAATAATATAAGGACATGTAGGTGCATGTGGAGTGCTTAGAACTTGCCTGCAAAAGGTGAGAACCCAAATGTTAAGTATTCCAGAGCCTCCACATTTCCTCTTGAAAGGGTTTCCTCAGATGACCACCAGTGATTTCCCTGACCCTTGTAGAGATAAACTGTATCCATTGGAAGAGCTACTGTTTTATGGCAGTGGGTACCATCCTCTCAGAAATGTAAGAAGACCCACTGTTTTGAGATTTCACATACAATTAATATATAAACATCCCCTTGGAAGATGGCAGTAACGAGCCCAGCTTTCTTGGACATCAAGGGGAAAAATTAAAAACTGAAGTTTGCTAAATGTGTGTTTTGCAGGTTGGACAATCTGCTCAATATGGCTTATGGAGTAAAGAGGTAATGATAGAGGTTCATGATAATCATAATCCCTTCCCATAATTGACTAGTTTCTTTGATTTGGGGAGTGACACCCTTCATAAGTTTGTGTTGGGTTTTCTTTTGCATGTACAGCCTAATGAAAAGCTGTTTTTGAAGCACGGTTGACTCAAGGAATATTATTATACCACTGGATGCCACCTGGCCTTTAAAAACCCCATTATTTGTTTTCTCTTGCATTGCGACGTTATAGCATGTTTCTGTCTGTGTTGGTCCTTCTTGCTCCCAATCCTGCTTAAGTTCATGAAGCCAGTTCCAAATTTATTCTTTGCTATTGTGAGTAATATTTTTCAATACAGCATATGTGGCCATTTCATAACTTATTAATACCATGATATTATAGCATGCCACACTGCAAGCCACACACTGACTTTGGTTGAAACCTCAAATAGTTGTATGTATCTGTTGTGGGGAGGGGAGTTACCAAAACTCTTGGGATGGGAAAGGGGGAAGAATTAAGTCCATTGCTGTAACCAACCTCTGTTTCTATTTGTGCGTGTGTGTGCGTGTGCGTGCGTGTGTGTGTGTGCATGTGTGTGTGTGTTTCTCCTATTTTGTTTAGTAGGTTTTCTCCAATGACCATTGATGGAATGACCAGTTTGGCTGGAATTAATATCCCTGGGCACCCAGGAACAGGGTGGTGTATTTTTGTGTACAACCTGGCTCCTGACGCAGATGAGAGTATCCTGTGGCAAATGTTTGGGCCTTTTGGAGCTGTCACCAACGTGAAGGTCATCCGTGACTTTAACACCAATAAATGCAAAGGTTTTGGATTTGTGACTATGACAAACTATGATGAGGCTGCCATGGCGATAGCTAGCCTCAATGGATACCGTCTGGGAGACAGAGTACTGCAGGTCTCCTTTAAGACAAACAAAACGCACAAAGCCTAATGAGCTCTTGTCCTCAGTCCATTTATATATGAAAACTATACAACAAAGGCAAGTTAAGAGAAACTTTATACATTAGTAAATGTCTTTGTAAGTCAGTGTTGAGATGGGATAAAACGACTACTTAGCATCCTAAGAAATATGTGAGATTTTTTATTGCTAGTATTTGAATTAAAACTTCTTAAATATCTTTTATGTTTGAATATGGACAAGAGGTACAGGGTTTTTACCTGTCACATTGCATTCTATTGCCTTCTTTGAAGAAGGTGGACCTTTTAAAGTGTTTCAGCTAAGGGAAGACATTTCTTTTCTTTTTACATAACTGCCTTGAACCTGTGAGTAAATATTGAGGCTTTGTGTTGTAATTCTTTAGTTGGTTGTGTCTTTTTCCCCCCCCTTTTTTTCTTTTTCTGATTAGCTTTGTGTTTGGTTTACATTTAAAGCATTGCTGTTATGTCTGAGAAAAGTATTTTGAAGTTTACATTTTTATTTATGAAGTTAAAAACAGTATTTATTTTGTAATTATGATTTGGGTTGGGGAAGGGGGGCTACATTATAAACGCTTATTGTAAGAATACTGGAGAACTTTTCGTAAAGCAGTACCTTGCCAAAGAGATAAGAGCCTCTTTGATGTGGGTTTAAAAAAAGCATCTATTTTTATAAAAAAGAAAATTTGGAGAAACTTTTTACTGGTCCTGGAACAAATATTTTGACTTGAATACTTTGAGAAATCTCTTCATATGACACCTAGTGAGCTTTTAAAATTTACCAGGAAATTTGCAGTGGTTGGAAAATTTAGAAAGATATATGATGTAGAAAATACTTTTGAGATCTTTGTATGAAAGGAGTAGAATCAATGGGGGAAACACTGCTGGTTTCGTTTTTGTAATCACCAGTGGAGCGTCTGATCATCCTGGTTATTATGTGATAGGTGGCTCACATTGATTTGTGATTTTGAAACAAAAAAAATTTACAAAAGAATATATAAGAGCAGGCAAGAAGTTTAAATTACCACGAGATGGGGGAAAAAAAAATCTGTTCTTCCTAAAGAAATCCCTTCAGATAGAGCTCATGGTGTTTAGTGATGTACTTGCAGTATTGTTTGAAGAATTGTTTTGTCTTAAGGAAAAAAGATGTTGCACATGATTTGTACTGCAGCAGATCGGCAAAAGTGATCTGAGTTGGATATATTTGAAGGTATTTTGAAAGTTATGTTCAAGGCTAACACCTGAGCTTTGTGTAATGTAAATAAGACCTTGTGTTATGAACCTTTCAGCTAATTTGATTTTTTTTTCCTTACATGCCAAGTGATGTTCAGGTTTTGAATGTTTTTGTATCAGTTTTTTCCTTTGTAAATGGCATTAACATTGTTACTTGAGGTCTTGCTTAATCACTTTTGTTGTCCTGAGGACTTGAATTTACAGTGCATCAGATTTGTTGCTAATTTTGTCTGTAGATAGTCTAGCTTCAGCTGTTTATGGTGATGCTACATTTTCGTTTATAAATATGTTTGTGGTAAAAAAAAATGAGTATAACCATAGGTTTTGAACAAATTTCCTTACATTTTTCATACAAAAATCATAAATATCTGTATGCTATTGAAATTTAACTTTGTATGATGCTTAAACCACTATTTGGGGAAATAATAAAATAAGTCTTTACCATGTATGAAAGAAATTTTAAAAAATACAAAATATTTTCTGATTAGCATCTAGCTTATAATAAATTTTCAAAAAAGCTGAAGGCAAAAATGCCTTCATCAGGATGCACTGAGAACTATATAGTTACGTCCTGCTTTTTGTATAAACTGAGATGCTCACATGCTTCCCCTTAGAACAGGCAATGTGCTATGCATAACATAGTTGTACATTATCTTTGCAGTTGCGTTGAGTTTTATTTTTATTATTTAAAATTGTAGTTATAAAAATTTTCAGTATAGTACAGTACATATACTGTGAGGCGCGTGCTAAAGTGAATAAGCGAGTTTTCATGCTGACCCACTCAATGCTATTCAGAAATCAATTGGCTTAGCACTTTCTCATATCCTTAGGTGCATTTAGATTGTCAGAGTTAACCTGCATTTAAAAAAAAACAAAAAAACTAAAAAACAAAATACATGTATATACTTAAAAAAAATAAGGTTTCCCTCACGGGAAAACAGCAGCTACATGCTTCTTTCCTATACTACTGTAGCAAACCAAGGCATTGATGAGAGGGCATGCAAATTGTGCTTCACTTTACAGTGTTTATCAGAGCACTTAATAAAATGTAAGGCTGGTATTTATTTGAAGTTGTACAGTATGACTTAATTCACATCTGTTGGAATAGAAAATATATTCTGTTGAGTATTTAAGAGGCTGTACATGTTTTCTTTTGTGTTTGGATTCTTTGTACTTTTTCATGTTCAGTACATCAATAAACAAAGTTGAAGGGAAAGAACAGTGTGGTGAGTAGGTCTTTATACATTTTTTGGGGCTCCTGTGCTGTCTAATAAACTTGCTCTCTTGAGTTAAGAGGTTCCCTCAGAGCTTTAGTTGAAAGCAGTGTCATGTAAAGTATTCCAAAAGGCATGTTAATTGAAGTAGAATGTGCAAAAAAATTTTTTTGAATGACACCTTCTGATAAGTTAGCTTTCAAACATTAACTTGATGGGTAATTTTTATAGGGATACGTGCTTTCATTGGCTAGTTGTACAGTTTGGGTAATTGGATGCTGACATCCTTCTATACCTCTGATTGAATAACCATTAACTTTTTTTTTTTTTAAATCAAATGGAAATTGCCCTCACACATTTACTTGAGCTAAAGAAAAACCAAATAGAAGTAAGGTAACTTACTCTGCTGCCACTGGGAAGATTTAATTCACCCATAGAATCAACTGTTGTTGAGTGTAACTTTTGTTGCCAATGCCAGATTATCAAGAGACTCCTCTAAAATCAGAAACTCAGTTTCCATTAGGTTAGGGTTGATGTATGTAGTACACGTGTACAAATCATGAACTCTGCCAACGCTGTGTTTCACATATATATTCAACCCCGGTAAGCATCCTTAGCAGATCTGTGGAGGAAGGAAAATATTTCTTGCTCATCTTTTATACAAAGGTTCTACTTCTGTAGAACTTAAGAAAACTTGATACGATAATGAAGTGCTTTTTTTCTTTTTTTTTAAAACAAAGTATATACTAAATGGCTTCTTTTAATTTGATTGTGTCTGTCAGCTTTTTTGGTAAAAAGCCATTCTAAAAGTAATTGTCCTGAATTCACAGTTTAGTAGTCAAGAGCTCAGCTGAGTGACAAGACAATTTTTTTTCTTCCAACATGCAATTAATCTCAAATCTCCATGCTCCCTTTTTTATTACAGGAATTCAATACTCTAATTTTGTGATTTTGGAACATCCTCCCCTCACCTCTCTCCTCTTGTATGCTTATCAGTATTTTGACTGGTTTGCATGTCAGCAGTTCTTTTATATTTGAGCAGATAAGGGGAAAATTCTCAGTAAAGGTTTGTGACACTGTTGGTGTGCTTGAGGAAAAAAGTTGTTTTCCTCAGAATTCCTTCTCACCTTATGCTTGCAAATCATCCAGGTTATCACAATTCAGTGTTAGATTAGCCAGTATAAATTTTGAATCTTAACATCATTTTACATTATTATAATCTGATTTGAGGATAGATGTTAGCAATTTAACCTTAATGTTTTTAAAAAGATAAACAGATTGTAAGTGTCCTAGCCTTATTTTATGCAATGATCAAAAAAATGTAGTGGAAACTTGTAATTTCCCACTCAAAGGGGTACCTAGAAATAAGAAAATGCATATACTTTAGTAAGAAGTATGTTGACATTTTAATATACTTCTAGAACAGTATGTGTATACCTTGTTGGTAGAAAATACCAAAAAAAAAAAAAAAAGAGGCAGTGGTTTTGATCCTTTATGCCTGTATTACCATCTTGGATCCTCAAACAGTGGAAGAGAACAAAAGTATTGCTAGAATTATAACAGAATTGATTATTATTTGAAGAGCATTTATAGCCTCAGTTATTTCAGCAAGTGGTTCATTTTTTTCTCTACTGTTGTTTGTATTTTTTCTCTGAAAATTTTCAAAAGTGGGCTCAATTCCCTTCAGGTTGGAAGAACTAAAACATCTACACATTAATACAGGTAGCCTGTTGACATGGGGTTACTGAAATGAACCTTTCCAGTGTTCTGGTTCATAGAAATAAACAAGTATTTTTTGGTTATTCAGCACAGGTTTATTGGTTATCTATGCTGTGTTCTGGGTCTGTAAAAATGAGCAAGCTGTGGCTCTTACCTTCTTGGAAACTGTTACTTAGAAGTGAGAACAGACAAGCCACCCTGCCATGCCACCTGGAAGCAGGTGTCCAGCTAACTTGCTGTAGTTGTTACAAACCCCTTTACAACTCATAAGAGTGAACCTGCTCTGTTCTTCTTACAGATTCTGCTTTTCCTTTCTTGGATTGATTATTAGCTCATTTGTTACTAATTTTGTTTTTTTTTTTGACCGCGCCCCTCGGGCATGTGGGATCTTAGTTCCCCTGACCAGGGATTGAACCCGCGCCCCCTCCAGTGGAAGCGTGGAGTCTTAACCTCTGGACTGCCAGGGAAGTCCCTCATTTGTGTAATTTTCAATCAGACATCAGTATCATTTAGTTTAGTCAATCTTGAGATGCTCTCTTGTTCATTAAGTTGTCCATACCCTTTCTGAAGCAAAATAAACGTTATTATACACAATAAAGACATTGCCTGTGTGAATAGTTAGGTTGATGGAGGAATTGGCTGGATGGTCTTGCTCTCTCTAAACATATAATATATGGAGTGACAACTTGCAAAGCACTCATGGTAAAATATCCTGAATATTAAAAGTATGCTGACTAGTTTTATTCTTTGAATGAAAACATGTCAAAATCTTAGGGTCTCAAACTCATTATTAATACTACTTTTAGCTTAAAAAACTAAAGATGTAGATTAAGATGTAATAGATACTAACCCCCAGAAATACTCATGGATGTTACATTTTCGAATACCTTAGAGCAGTCAAGCATGAACCCCTGTTTGGAAGTCATATGCCTCTCTGTCCTTAACATAGCCTGTCTTATTCTCCAGAAGATTTGTCCGCATCCACAAGTAACTATACAATACAAAGAAAGACAAGAATGCTATGAACAGAGTACATTAAAAAGAAAAGGAAGATGGGAGTGACTCATACATGTCTGCGTGTGTGTGTGTGTGTGTGTGTATTGGCTGAGGATAGTTAGTGGGGTGGGAATGGGCAGCCACACAAAAGTGGTAGCAGTTGAGCTGCATCACTAAGGGTAGGTGGGATTTAAAAGAGATTGGAGGAGGGAATCCACAAAGAGAACACTGATCAAAGACATGTAGGTAAGCTTCTGTCTACTTGTAACAGTTTCTGGGCTATTAAGTCATATTCAGTACAGACCTATGAGCTCATTAAACATTTTTGTGTCCATGACTAGTTAAATCTCAGATTAGTCAGAAACTTGAGTCCATAATAAAATACAAAGTATCTAAATGTTGAAATTTTGTTCTTGTTACCTTGCCCATTTCTATTGTAACACTAGAAATACTTGCTATGATAGATTATATGTGATTTTTGGAGTTGCAGAAAACTTGCTGGTAAGGACATTGACTTCTTTTAAAAGAAGTCATTGATATTTGGAGCATGTTGTTCAGTGTATGCAAAAAGACCAAATGAAACTAGATCTCCCTAGTAAGAGAATAGTGGATCAATCTCTTTCTCTCAATGTATACTTTTCAGACTCAATAATTTAAGAGGATAAAGTGATCCTTCTTTAGTGGTTATGCTATTTCTAGTGCCATGGTACCTGGTTCACTCTTAAATGTTGGATTTACATTTCATACTTTTCTTACCTATCGCTCAGGTATTACCTGCATGGAAGGTGAGGGGAAAATTATAAAATTGAAATATTTCTCAGATATTTCCAAGATGAGGTTTTAGTTTGACAGCTTTTTACCTTTCTGTTGTTGTTTGGGAAGCTCAGTTAATAGCCATACCTTGCATTTCAGTGAAGAGCCACAGAAAAGGCAGCCCATTTAAATAGCCCTTCAGGGGAAGGCGTTTGTTTGTTTGTCCTGAAGGGCCCTCTGACCTACAGATTGTCTATAGCCCAGTGCTATCTCTAACTCTGATTTTTATTGTGCACTCCTTCCGAGAATTCTCCTTGTCCGGTTTCGGAAGCAGCCAACCCTACTGTGGACCTCCTTGCAGATGTGAAGAAACTGGCAGCCATCTTCAGGGTGACCCACCCTGTGGAATGAAGCACAGCTGTCGAGGTAGCTTTGTTCTCTGGATTGGGCTGGATTGTGACAAAGGTGTGGCAGCTGCGGTGAGAATGGGGGGAGGGAGGCTACAATGCACAAATGCAGGTGGTCAGACATCCAGAAGATGCACAGCTTTTAGTTCTCAGACCCGGAAGTACCATGTTGAGCACTGTGTTGAAAGTAAACCCTTATATGTTTACAGGCATGTTCTAGGTCTTTTCCTTTATCAAAACGTAGCTTTTGTGAAGTTGCAAGTAGTAATAATTGCAAGAAATAACGCAGATTCTCACACCAAAAAATCCCTGAATACTTATCCAAAAGGATAAGTAACTATCGCTGTATATGTGGAAGCAGAAATTGCAGTTGTTACCGTATTACTTAAATGTTTAGCAGAATTTCATCTCTTGAGAATGGTTGCTGCTGTGTGTTCTCCATTTGAACTCAAGCATATGTTGAGAGGATTCTGCTTTTCAGGAGTTACTCTTTAAGAGGTACCTGCTTTGCAGCCGTACATCACGTAAGGAAAGCCTCTTTGCTTCTTCAAGTAAATTGCTCCTCATGTTTTCTGTCTTCGGATTAAATGGCCTGAGTACCAAATGATAAGGCAGACATTCTGTGTTTCCTAAGTGAAGGGTGGTGAGAACTTCTTAGAAGTTTATCTGAAACTTATCCTAATACAGATGATTTGTTTTTTGGTGTGATGGTAGTATTCAGTTGTGCTTCTCAAACTTCTTCATGTTCTTGGCTCCAGTCCTGAGGAGATCAGTATCTCTACACACCCATAATCCTTCTATGATAAGGCAGCATGCCATGGCACACAGGTTGGGAAGCTCTCTTATAGATACATTATTTTTTTAAAAACTTCCCTCCTGTTAACTTTCATTGAATGTATATTAAGCATCTACTCTATACCAGTTGCTTTGCTGTTTCAGGGCTGAAGATTTAATTTGTGTCTATTTTCGCTCTGGCTTTGAGCTGGAAGACACCTCAGGCATCTTTTAGCACCTTAATTCTTCAGATGTGAGTCAGGCCCAGAGAAGTTAAGGTTCTCCAAGGTTCTTTTGCTAACACGAGACCTGGCACTTGAACCCAGTTCTCCTAACTCTTGGAACTCTGCCCT